CTCTATAGGAGACACAGTTTATCAGGAGAGGATTTTTTAAGCAATAACAACTCGTAATAAAATAGGAGTAACGACTTTCTACTTCTTACCTTTTTTAAAAAACGTATTAAATAGAAAGTACAGATAATTGTGTAATGAGTAAAAGTAAAAAGTACGCTGAAAAATAATTACTCAAGTAAAGTACAGATACCAAAGTTTCTACTTAAGTACAGTAACAAAGTATTTGTACTTAGTTACTTTACAACTCTGCATGTGCTAGAGATATTGATCGGTCTTTGCAGATCTCCTGGGCCTYGGGTTTAAGACGGGCACAAAGTTCTGAGTGTTTCCTGTGAGAGATGTGAAATATCAGGATTTATTCTGGGAAACCTCCGACGTCACGAGATGCTGCAGCTGTGTTTCAGAAGTGACAGACTGTTTTGGGACGAGGCCTCACATCAGCTTCTTCTCCTCCACAGAAATCGGAGACATCGCAGGCGTGGCAGACGTGACGATCAGGCAGTCGTACCGACTCATCTACCCTCGAGCTGCCGAACTTTTCCCTCCAGACTTCAAATTCGACACGCCCGTGGACAAACTGCCCCAGCTGTGAGCAGCGGCTCCTCTGCTGCGCTCAACCTTTCTTTTCTAAATTTGTGTTTTGGATTGAGCCCAGTTTTTGTCCTGTGCAGAACACAGAGCCCTGTGACAGGACGATGGTGGACACATTCCAGTGCTTCAGTAAACGGCTTGCAGACTGTACTTGCAGTATTTCATTTCAGTGTATATACTGTAGAGTGTATATATGTCCAAGTGGAAACATGTAACTGACACTTGCAATTTTAGCCTCTTTTCATACTGTRAACAAACACTTTTTCTTTGTAGAAAAATCCTGGTTCTATTTTGTTTCAAATGTTTCAAGTAATTTAAAAATAAACGATTTTCACTAAATCAGATCAAGAATGGATGTTTTTATTCAGCTGAAGACTTTTAGTACAGTAATACTTGTAAAAAATAATTCTGCCAGGACAAACTGAAGATTTCCTTTAAATCAGGAACAAAGAGTCAGTATTTGAGCTGAGGTGGAACTGTTGCTGTTACAGCAAAGTTGAAATGAATTGTGTGGTTTTTAAATTTAATACGTTCTGTTTTAGTCTTACTGAGAGGAGGAGCCTGAACAAACTTCATATTTGTGACTGAATTCAGATTCTGACAGCAGGATGCAATGTTTTATAAATAAGTGTTAAAAATGTGAAACATTTCATTAATTAAAACATTTTTCCTCAATTTATCGTCATAATCTAACTACTTGATGATTTATTTACATTATAAAGGATAATTCTGACATTTTATATTAAATTTGAATACTATATTTCTTACATGAGCAGATTGTATTTTTCACTCCATTATTATCTTTTTTACTTTAAAAACAGTTCAGTTTAGCTGATGTCTGTTWGCACCAGATGAAATAAACACAAACAGATTGAACCATTAATGAAACATTTAGCTGCACAGCTTCACTAAAACATAAAATAAAACAGATTTAATTCGGGGTATTTGAGAACAACATTTATGTTTGGAAGGCTCTGGACTGTAAGAAGTCAGAGTTTAAATTAAAGTTAAATCCAACAATTCTCTTTAAAAAGAAAACAAGAAAATATGTATTTATACTCTTGTTTAGATTAAAGCTGTTTGTCTTCTCTCTTTAATTTAAAACTGAAGCTTTAAACCTTCAGGAGAGGCTCCAAGACAACCTGATTCATGTGTTGAACACAGATTTATATACAGGTATACAGTATTATATTTATGTGTGTATATACACTCACCGGCCACTTTATTAGGTACACCTGTCCAACTGCTCGTTAACACTTAATTTCTAATCAGCCAATCAC